AGATAGGAGTAATTAGCAGGCACGAAAAAGCAGCTTCTAGTTTAATAATTTTTATGTAAAATCAGAGAAGAACATGAAGGGCCTGACTCATCCCATACACAATTAGGTTTCTTACAAATTAGTTGCAACATTAGGTTCTGAAAGCTAACAACTGGTACCTAACAAGACGAGCCGGTCTCCACATCTAACTAAAAAATGACCCAATAACATGCACTATAGTTTTTCATTTTGAAAACCTAAAGATTAATGGTCATCCGAGCCAGATTAGAACCGCTTCCTCGCGCATTTTCTCTTGGATATTCTCATAATTGAAAGAATCATACATGTCACAGTAGGATTTGTTTCTCATGCAATCTGATTAGCAAAAGGGAAAACCGTCCAAACAAGACTGGAAACAGAAAAACAATTACCTTCCTACTCCTCATGTACCAGAAACTTCACCCCTGTGATCATCAGTGTAAACTTAATCATAATTGACATAAAACAAGTCATTTCTTAAGCTTCCTTTGTATGCACAAGGGGCTTTGGTAAATAGTCACCATGATTCTCGTTTTGAATCCAACAGTCATGTATCATGAATCAAACTCCAGAAATCACTATGGGCTTCCTCAAATATCTGTCTAAATCTGTCACGACCTGGCATCAGAGCATCAAATATATATGATAGTGAAGTTCATAATTAATTTGTATAGAGTCTGCACAATGACTACAATAGAAGTCTTTCTAATTATACATGTGGTATGGCACAAAAACAATTAGAGATCAAGAAAACAATAATCAGCAATTATGGAGATAATGCAAGCAAGTGTGATCTTAGAACATAAAAGATAGCATACCAGCATGATTGAGCAGTTTCTTAACAAAGGTGGATAACCCTCAGTGCTCCAGAAGTTTGATCTTTTCAACACAGTTCTGCATGTGCTGAGTAACATCAGCAGAGAGGCGTGCCCCCATCCTAAGCTTGTATTGCTCAAATTTCAACTCATCACACTTCAAGGCAGCTTTCTTGCATGCCTTTATATTTCCTGGTATAAAGAAGAAAAACATCAATAATTTTCACACATTTTAACAATGTAGTACCAAATGCAGCAGATTTAAATAAGAATGGACATCACTTGATTCAAATCTCTTGTTAAACTTAACCAAAAGGAAACAAAGGAGCAGGTGTTAGGGTGAAAGGTGCTGCAGACTACACAATTCGAAGATTGAGGTTCTGCAGTAAAATCATGTCTAAATTAGAAAATTTATAACTTCATGAGAAATCTTCTCATTTTTTAACAAAAAGAATCATCACATTTAACGATCCCTTGACATTGCTAAAAACAAGCACTTTGTTTTTATAAAGTTCTTCTCCCCGAGCAAAGCAGTGACAAAGTTAAAAGCTAAGAGAAAAAAGAGTTTCTATTTCTGATATGAATATGCGATGCAAATCTTTAGCAACACGCCAATAGAGTTTCCTGCTTGTTTGGTTGACTTACCACTTAAGTCCAGTAAGTTAAACAAAACAGGGCAGTTTCCAACACTCCTGACCATGGTAATTGCAGACCAAACTTTTTGGTACTCCTCTCTTGAGACTCTGATAATACACAGCTTTGTAATGGGATTCACATATTTGACTACACAAACAAACAATACACATACGAACATCAAAATAGGCAAGCATAACAGATTTAAAAAGGAGGAAGACAAGTAAATAACTTGGCACATACGTTGGAACGATCCCAGTGATGATGCTAGACCACACTCCCCAAAGTTGAGAAGAATGCTGTCTTTGATTGCTTTTGACAAATTTAACTGGGTGATTATAACAGGGTCATCCCCCTGATGGTCTTTGTTTGGGTCTAAGAAAACCTCCATTACCATGTACCTATTCTTGAATCCTACCATGACCTTTTGCTTAATTTATAACACCCAATTCTGAAAAAAAAAAAAAAAAAAAAAAAAAAACTTCTGCATAAAAAAAATTTGAGACACCCCATTTCGCAACAAAAATTGAAATCGTGTTACCACTCCATAATATTATAGAATCCTACCATGACCCATTAGATCTACAAAGACAGCACGCACACATGAAAGAAAAAGAGAAAGAACAAAAAATTTCTTACCAGATCAATGAAAGCAGGGAGGAACGATGACAGAGATGGTAATCCAGCGGCGGCGATGGGAATGGAGCAGCCGCGGCGGCGGAGACAAGTATATAAACGGACGGCGGCACGCGGTAATAGGGTTTAGTTATTTTTTTATTTTCTCTTTTTTTTTTTAAGCTTTTTTTTTGGGTTGACTTGACGTTAGATTAGGTTAAGTTAGGTTTGGTCAGGTTGAATTAGGTGAGTGTGAAAGGACTAAAAGCCCAAAACTTTGGACAGAAGCCCAATATGAAAGGATTTTTTTTTTCGGCCGTTTGTATATATATAATAGTTAAAAAGAATCAAAAGATGAAAACAAAAATCATACTTTTACCTCTAAACTTTTTATAAAGTTATCAATTTGGCTCTTGAAGTGATTCCATTACCCAATAAGCCCTTTTTTTTTGTATAATATGGAAGATAATATCTTTTGTTATATATCATCATCATATTACCCCAAAAAAAATAAAAAAAAGATAGCATTTCATTATCCCCGAATTCTTCTCATTCATGTCAACATTCAAACTTGACAAATCTTAATCATTATTACACTTTTATTGCATGAAACATAAAAATATATTTAATTAATACAAAGATATGAATATAAAATAACTTTCTCTCATATCTTAATTCATTTTACCTCAAACCTTCTACTTTTACTTAAAAAAATTACCACTAAACCACCCACTTAAGTATAAAATTTTAATGGGATTTTCAAATCTGTAAACCTCATTAAATGCAATATGTATAATTAATTTTACATAAATTTATATATCAAATTTAATTAAAATAAAATATAATGTTCAAAAAAATGTAATTAAAATATAATATAAAATCAAAATATAATATAATATTTGTACTCAAACTCTAAAAAAAGTATGAATCTTACATGAAAATTTATACAAAATTAATTGTAGATATCGGTAATTAATGAAGTTTAACATGAGTCATTGAAGCATGGGCTATACTAACCCAATTTAAATTAGAAAATTGTAGATTTTCATTTTTGTTTTTTGAAATTTTAGAAGTTCAACTACTAAAAAAATCCAAAAAAAATAAAAATAAAAACACAATGGCTTAATGGGGATTAAATCAATAACTTTATAAAAGTTTAGGGGTACAATTAATAAATTACGATTTTTTTTCCAAATTTCCCTAAAACGTGGAAAAGTCAAACCAGAAAAATGGAGAATATGGGGCCGTTACACACGTGACAAAGTTCAAGTAAATAGTGGAAAAATACTCGGAAAGAGCATCAAATTTGAGTATCACGAAATGGTTAAAATACCATTTTAGTTTCTCAATTTTTTATTTTGGTATCAAAATTATCCCTAAATTTTAAAAATATCAAAAATATCCTTAAATTTTCATTTTTGGTACTAATTTCATCCTTCCATTGACGGAAGTGACGAGTGGAACGTTAGATTGCCACACAATCACTTAATTTTTTTAAATGTCAGTGACGTGTAAATCCAACAAGGGAAACTCAACTTTTTTTAATAAGTTAATACATTAAAAATAAAATTACTTAAATGCCCTCATCCTCATCCTCCAACCTTCCGTTCTTCTCTTTCTCCAGCACCTCCTCCATGCTCCAAGTAAACCAGCAACTCCGAAAAATCTAGCAGCTCATAAAAAAAAAAAAGCAATGGTAAACTCAGATTTCTATGGCTTAATCTCTATAAAAAAACAAGAAAACAAAACAAAACTTTTATGTCGAAAGCTTCAATTTTCCTTCCTCAGATCTGTAAAAAAAAATTATGAACCAAATTGACAAAATCTTGTCTCCCTCAACCTCTAGAACCTTCCCCTCTGCAACAATCATTCTCCTTCCTCAGATCTGTAAAAAACCCAAAATTTTTATGTTGAAAACTTCAATTTTCCTTCCTCAGATTTGTAACTTCTGGAATTTCAATTGCACTTTTCCCTATTTTCTCAAAAAAAA